AGTCCATTCGAGTTGTGTAGCCATCTTAGCAAAGTTGTAGAGTTTCTGTTTAGTAAAATAGTACTCATAGTTTGTCTTTCTTTTGTTTGTAGTGCTATGACTTTCAACTAATATTAATCTTCAACCTGATTATTGTAGGGACATTTAAATTCACAGCTTATGAGTTCAATTTTCTCATATAAAACTGATAGAGTTTCTTTCTATTCGCGTGAAAACAAACATTGTTGGTTTGCCTAGTAGTTTTCTTTCTCAGTTGGTATAGGCTTCACACTTTGTCCTTCGAAGAGGCTCAATGAGTCCTTTAGTTCGTAGATTATCAGGCGCATCACAGCTGACTTTTGCCAACAGAAAGATATGTTATATTTAAGTAGAATACATAAATCAATATTTGCACAAAAGTAATAAAACTTCTTTTACAAAGGATTGTGGCGGTGTTTACCTCAAGTTAGCTTCTTTTTAACGCCTTACATGTTAAGGACTTCAATTGTTTCTTGATATTAAACAAGAAACGACTGAGATGGGGTTACACATGACTGGTTATTTCAAGCACACCATTTCAGTCATTCACTACAGAAAGTAAGGACAGTAAGTAACTGAAATTGATATTAACTTAATATTGCTGAATATCACAAAACAAACAAAGCATATACATATGTGAACTTGGAACAATCGTTTACACTCTTATCTGAGTGGATGTGAGACCGTTGGATTGGGTTAAAGATGCTTCCTTGTAAAGGGTTACAACTAAAGAGACTAACTGTCTTAAGGCTGGTAAATTCATACCAAGCAAGAAATATGGTAGCAAAGCAAATTCTAAATAGTCTTAGAGTCTAAAGGAAGGTTTCCTAAAGTTCCAAGGTCTTGGTTTCAAATGGTCTTTTGGTAAGGCAAAATGAATGAAAGGCAGAGAGCTTTTGGTTTGAAAGTTTTGTTGAATTATTTGAGTGTCCTTTACTTTGAATCTTTCACTTGTATTATAGACCCTTTACCTTTCATCTCTTACATCAATGCTTTCTATGTTTTCATTTGAAGCTGATCTAGGATTACTTTCCTTTGAGTAATATACCAATAGGAAAGTAATCCAAAATATTTGAATGGTGAATGAAGAGTAGCATAACCAAAACAATAGTTTTGCCTAAATCTATGATGACCTTCCCTTAAAAAAAAAAAAAAAAAACCAAAGTATTTTGCATTTAATGCTCTTTGCAGTCGAGAAAGAAAACTTAAATTTTGATACATTTGACAATTCAAAAACAATATGAGATGTACTATTCATTTATAGTAAATTAAAAGCCCAAGTTTTATTTCATTATGATTCACCTTATTAGATTAAACTAAGGCCCAATAATATTTTTAGTGTAAACGCTTCCACACCGAAATTCTCATCTTACGAGACTGATGATATTTGCCACTCAAAAATTCTAAACACGGCGCGAGTTCAAGTCCTATTGGTTTTTTAATCTAACATTTAGTCTAATAAATTTATCGTTAAATAAACAAAATTATCTCTACGCCTTCAAGTGTTTGACATACATGTCTACGAATCTTAGAAGCTACATGAACAGATCTGCCATGATCCCATTTCGTCCATTATCTATTTAACAATTAGTTTGGAGTCTTTGAACGGCAGTTTGTGACATATTAACTCATTTGTTTTCTCTCTTTACTCTCTCTCTCTCTGTGTTTTTTTTTTCAATGAATAACTTTTATTAAATACGAATCGAAATGTTAACATCAGAAGCCAAAGTGTTAAACAACCACTAAGGCTCCAACTCATCTCAAGAATGTACACTCCCCACATGCGTGACATAAGATGCCACAAGATGCGCAACCTCATTACAAGCACGAGGAGTGTAAAGAAACTTAATAGAACATAAATGTTGCTTAATAGTAGTAATATCCCACAAAATAGCTTCCAAAGTTGCATCAGGTTGTAGCTTCCCATGAATCATAGCAACAAGGATCTTAGAGTCAGTTTCCAAAAGAACAGAGCCAAAACCCCGTTCCACTGCAGCCATTACCGCCATCCTCAATGCTTCTGCTTCCGCCATGATGCTTGAATCACAGAGAACCTTCCTCACACCACTCGCACCTTTAAAAATCCCGACGAAATCTCTAGCTACCTACCCATAACCACCCACACCATCATGACTACACCAAGCATCATCGCAATTTATTTTAATTACTCCAAATGGTGGCTTAATCCACCCATTCGAGATCGTCCCACACCCAGACTGCCCAGGGACCTTGCACGGCAGGAGCTCTTCATCACTTTCCACAATCTCCTCCCATTGTTGCCGAAATAGATGCATTGCAACCGTTGGGTCAATCACAATCTTCTCAAACACCACATTATTACGACACTTCCATATTCTCCATAAACCACATACCACCCAACACATAAGCGCACAAGCATCCTCCATCTTACCATACTTATCACACAACCAAACTCAACACTGCATAAATTCATCTCCCCCAACCGTAGTTGCATCCAATTGGAGCGGAGATCCAAACCAAAAGACACAAGCGAAGGAGCATTTAAAAAAAATATGTACATGGGTTTCCTCTTCACAATCACAAAATGGGCAGCTAGTACTCAACCGAATCCCTCTCCGTTGCAAGTTGGTACAAACAAGCAATATATTCCGACATCCTCTCCGTACAAAATGACGGAGCTTCGGAGGCACCTTCAAACTCCACAGATTCCTCCATATCGAAGCCATATTATCAACCCTACTAGACTACCTTACTCATTGCCGACCAAGTTCACCATTCCTATCCATTTCCTGGGCTACCAAATATCCAGATTTCACTGAATAAATTCCATTTTGAGTGTAGTGCCAAGACGATCAGAACACCCAAACTGGCTTAACGACATACTCAAAATAATTTGTGCTTCATCAACACTAAAACACCTCTCAATGATCTCACGTTTCCATGTTCCATCAGTAGACACCATATCGGTAACCAACTTAGGCATTTCCGGATGTCGTGAAATAGGTCGAAAGGTTCTTGGAATAGGTAACCAAGGATCCTCAACAACCTAAATAGTCCTCCCATTACCAAGCCTCCAGCGCAAACCAGCCTTCAATATTTTCCTCCCTTGTAAAATTCTCTTCCATCCCCATGAAGTTCCTCGTCCCATTGATGCTTCAAGAAATGATGAATTAGGATAATACTTAGCCTTAAAAACTCTAGCCAACATAGATTCCAGATTGTATACCAGGCGCCACCCCACCTTGGCCAACATTGCTAAATTAAAATCAATTATCTCTTTAAAGCCCAAACCTCTAGTAACCTTACTATTCGCCACTTTCTTCCACGCAAGCCAATGAACACCCTTTTTCGTCTTCTGATCCCTCCACCGAAATCGTGCTATTACCTGCTCAATTTCCCTTGCCAATTGAATAGGCAATTGAAAACAAGACATAGTATAAATAGGTAAAGCCGCAACAACGCTCTTAATAAACACCTCCGTACCGGCTACCGACAAAAACTACTCCGCCCAACCATTGATTCTTGCATCCAGTTTATTTCTTACCTCTTCAAATACTTTTTTCTTTGAAGCCCCAAAATCAGATTGTATACCTAAATATTTCCTAAAACCTTCCTTATGCGTAATCTCCAGAACTTGTGATAATTGAGCTTTCAACCCCGGAGAACAACCCACACTGAAATGGACAGAACTCTTATCCAAATTAATAAATTGGCCAGAACCCACAATATACCGATGTAGCCAACATTTAATATTATATGCCTCGAACTCCATAGCTCGACCAAATAACATGGAGTCATCGGCAAAAAAAACATGGGATATGAGCTCAGCAACATATGTGACAGATATACCCCGAAGACGTCCTACCCGCTCTTCATAATGAAGTAATGATGAAAAACCCTTTGCACAGATGAGGAATAGAAACAGTGATAGCGGATCCCCTTGTCTAATCCCTTTACGAGGTGTGATATATCTCATAGCCTCACTATTAACAACCACACTATATGACACAGTTTTCACACATTCCATCACCCATTGGCAGAACACATCATCAAAGCCTAATTTATGCATCATCGTAATAAGGAAAGACCATTCAACCCTATCATAGGCTTTTGCCATATCCAGTTTCATCGCCATATAATTAACATCCTCCTCATTCTTATGTTGCATAGAATGGAGAAGTTCGTGAACCACCAGGACATTATCATTAATTTGCCTTCCATCCACAAACGTCGATTGATTCTGACTAATCACCTTAGGAAGAACTCTTTTTAATCGATTAGTCAAAACTTTAGAAATGAGCTTATAGACCATATTACAAAGTGAAATTGGTCTAAACTGAGACATTTTCGTTGGATTCTCTACTTTGGGAATAAGCACAATATTAGTATGGTTCAAATCTTGTAACATACGATGAGAGCAAAAGAAAGATTTCACCATACCTAACACCACACCTCCAACTGTCTCCCAATGATGCTGAAAGAAACCCGCATTAAAACCATCTGGACCTGGTGATTTTGTAGGGTGCATCTGATATAAGGCATTTTCAATTTCCATATCACTCATAGTGCCAATCAACAGATTATTTTCCGTAATCCCCACCTTACACGGCACACACTATAAAATCTCTATATTCTCTGCATGCCAATCCGAGGAAAATAAGTTTTGAAAATAATCTACAGCAATGCCATGTAAACGGTTTTTGTCCATGCACCAAGTCCCATCCACATCTTCTAAGCCTCTAATAGCATTCCGTCTTCTACGTTTCATGGTTTGTGTATGAAAAAAATGGGTATTTTTATCACCTTTGCGTAACCATTGAACACGAGACTTCGTACGCCAAAAAACTTCTTCCCTTCGAATAGCTCTTCAAAGCTCTTCTTCCAAACTTTGAATACGGTGTCCGTCGAACACCCGTTGTTGATATGCTGCTCGGAGAACCTCCTTCAATCGACATATTTCTTTTTGCTCATTTCGACCCTCATTTTTACGCCACAACACCAACCTATGGGTAACCTTCCGTAGCATGTGCACCATTCTGTGCAGAATACCCACCAACCACTTCCCCACAACATGCACGGACTATATCAGCACACTTTTTATCATGGTTCCATTTTGGGTCATACATAAACCTTGTCTTACGCTGGGACTGCTCCACTTCCATTGATAACACTAACATCGTATGATCCGACCCCTCCAAAATCACATGCTTCACCACTGTTTGTTGATAACATTGAACCCATTCATGGGTAGCAAAAACACGATCAAGTCTTTCCTGGATAAAACCGTCCTCCTGCCTATTGCTCCACGTAAATGGGTATTCTACAAACCCTAAATCTAATAGCCGTGCTTGAGTCACAAAGGATCGAAAACACCTCATACTCGCAACAGTGCGCTCGTTACCTCCCTTATTTTCTGAGTCCAATAATAAGTCATTCAAATCGCCCATTACCATGCATGGCTCAAAATAGGACAAAACACGGTCTTGTACCGGCCCTAATTGCGTTGCCCTCATATGCTCATCCGTACTCGCATAAACAATCACTAAACGCCATTTGCAAAGTCGTACTGTATCCTGAATCAAGACCTCAATGAAGAAATCCCCATACTTCACCAAAACCACATCATTTGCATCATTCCAAAACACACACATACCACCAGCACGTCCTCTAGGTTCAACAGCATGCATGCATGCCATACCGAGCCTCTGCTTCAAATAACTGTACTGTTAACTATTATTTTTAGTTTATAAAAGAACCATAACCTCAGGGGAGTGAAGCCAATTTTTCTCCAAGATATTATCAACTGTCAAGTCTTCCCTTGATACCCTAACAGTTCCAACATATAAACTTCATTGCGATCGCGGAGACCCCTCGTAGGTGGCCCCCGCTTGGTCACAATCAGACTTTTGAATTTTGTTCACCCGTATCTCACATTCGCCAAACTCCTTAATCTCACACCTATCATTCTCCCGAGTCCTTTTCATTCCTCCCATCGAAACTGCTTCAATGATAAGAAGTAGATTGACTGGATCCGAATCCTGTGATATCAGCACTACCCTCACACCCATATCATGACCAACAGTGCCAGGATCCTTATCAATAACCTCCTTATGAACTTTCACAGATGGTATATTAAGGTCAAAGTTCCTACGTGGCTTCATGACCTCAGTACTTTCCCCAATGGCCTCAATCCCATCCGGGTGGCTCAATAATTCAATAGTCCCAGCTTCAGGTGCAATGGCTCCTCCTCGACCTATAAGCCCTACATCAAAGGCCAGTTATTGTTCCAACCGTTACCTTTCCTTCTCCTCTTGTTCCACAACATATTTCTGACGGACCTCCTCATCAATGATACAGTTAGAATGCCACCCCATAGACGATGAAGACACACTAATCCCCCTAACACCCTACTGCCCAACATCGCGCTCCATAATACTATTTCCTCTTAGATCATACTTCTTATCAAGGCCACCGAATGCATATAACGCCTCTGTGTTAACCTCAGAAGCCTCATCCCTAAGCCTTTGTGTCTTACACCATCGAGTTACATGTCCCACCTTCCCACAAATAAGACAATAATGTGGAAGTCCCTCATAACGAAAGTCCACCCAAACCGACCCATCATCAGGAAATTCAACGTTAGCTCCCCTCATGAGAGGCTCCCGTACATCAATAGAGATCCTCACCCTTAGGAATCGTCAAATACAGTCCCAACCATCATCTTTATCAACCCTTACCACCACGCCAATCAAACCTTCAATTGCCCGAGCCACCATTTCTGTCATATTTATGGCGGCATTTTATGTAACTACACCCACAATGTAGCCAAATAGAGAGGTTCTGCCCATTTCCCATAACGAGCCCCATCAACAACCAATACGAGATCGTCTCTAAACAACCATGGTTTCTCTGCCTCCAAAACCCTAGCCATATCTTTACGGCCTACAAAGCGAGCCATGAACCGCCCCCCACCCAAAGCTCTGATGGTACCTCATCTCTTCCACGCCATAGATTTATGAACTGATCAATCATGCCACTCTCATTCACCGTCTTCTTTGAGAAAACCTCACCCACAATACTGTAATGAAACCCTAGTAAAGCCCTCTCCACATCCTTCTTCTCTATCTTTATGCTGCCCTTTTCCTTTGCAGACAGAGAATGACTCACTCCAAACCTTGTCGCCAAGCCCTCCATATTCTGCATGCCCACCATAATCACATTCTCAACACACAAAACCAAGCCCAAGCCTACTGTTACACCGTCCCGTTTGTTGAGATCTCAGAAACAGTGTATACAATAATGTCGGCACCTGAACCCTAGGGTTTCAAAAAGAAAATCGTCAAAAACACTAAGCTTCGACTTTCTTGGAAAAACCTCCTTGCAAGGACAGTAAGGAAAAATAAATTGTGCTTTTTTTTCGATGGACATCACTTGAGTTCTCTCTATCTCTTTGTGTACATATGCATAGTATTTCTTTAATTTATTTTCTTATAAAAAAAATGACTAACTGGTGGTTTCGCCACCATAATCCACTTTTTTAGAGGCCGGGAAAACTCACATAGACATGTCAGCCTCTCATAGGCCACCATCGTGTGATTCAATAGCGACATAAATCAAACTCAAGACATGTCGTGTAATATATATTTTGGGGTCGGATTTACAACTTGGAAAAGGATTTTGTTATGAGAAATTGTTGCATATAGACTTCCTTTCAATTTTTATTATAAGCTTGTTTGGGCCCAAAATATTGGTTTGGGTCGAGTTTAGAATTGTTCTCAGCCTGAAAACGTTGCTCAGGGGTCGGCCGTGTCCTATCAGGATGGGGTAGTTGAATCTTGATACAATAAGGAGTCTCGGAAGGATAAGGATGCTGAAACTTGGGAATGAATGCGGCTTGATAAGGGGTTGAGTTCAAAGTCCTAATAGGAGTAGGACTGGCCGAGATAAGATTGGATCGGGGTAAGAAGTCCTAACTCGAGTGTAGTTTTGATTCGATCAGAAGTAGGTTTGCTACTATAAATAGAGGGAGGAGTGCATCATTCAAACCCCCTCCAATTCAACACACAAATTGCCCTGCACAAACTCTCTCAACAACAACACTGTGAAAGCAACCGGTGATACCTTCAGTTTGGATAAACAACATTATCGCCGTAGAACCAGCCGACTGCGGAACACCTTCAGTTTGGATAAACAACATTATGTCGAGGTCGACTGGTTATTTATCCAAGTCTCTGTTAAGAAAGACTTTCGGGTCTTTATTGGCAGAGGTCATCTCATTAGCCTTTTCGGAGAAGTGAGGTGTTACAATTTACTAGGGCTCGACACATTGAACGCTGAGTTATTTTCTGACGGCCAAACCACATTTACCATCAAGACATATATCTGTTTTGAGTATCTGTGCCCCTATACTCTAGTGTCGATTCGACGTGCTTATACCCTTACAAATATAATCACTGTGACCGAATCTGGCGCCAATGATTTGTGAACTTCGCAGAACTAGCAGCCTTGTCTTCAGGCTCTAAAACCTAAAGGCTGAGACGTGTTCCTTCCTTGCCCGCAGTTGCAAGATTAAGAAGTCAGCCGCGTGCTCAACGTAACATCAACATATTTTACTCATCAGTCGACGAGTTGGCACGCCCCGCATCAACCGAAAGACGTAGTTAGCTCATTAGTTACTCGGCCAGCGCGCCACATAGGCTTGGTAGTTTTTAAGGTCAACATTTTGGCACGCCCTGTGGGACCAAGTGGTAAAACTACGAAGTTCATGGCCATCGAGACACGATTGGTCAAACGAAAACAATCATGTGAAAGTCAACGATCGATCTGCCAGTAGAGTCTTGGACAAGAAGTGTCACATGCGTGAAATCTCGTCGTTGCTCTGACCCGTGAGGCTGCAAGTGTGACACACCGAGAAAATAAAGTCTGTCTAGGTACCCAGCCTCGAAACACAGAAGTACCCAACCGAACCGCATGCGTTTTCATTGAAGGAATAGTAAAAGACTGAGACGAAGACGGTGGTGAAGGCTCTAACCCTCAAACTAGGTTGTTTCTTCGAATATGACCTGACGAGCAATCTCGGTAGGTTGAATAGACAGTTATCCAAAAAATGAACAGTTTGCTCGAGGTAATACGAAGTAATGGTGAGAACCACACCCAATTGCTCGAATTATTAGTTAGCAGAGTCTTCGCAGGGCGACCTATTGATCAGTCTCGACAATTTCCACTCAAAAGTAATCGACTACAGAACGAAGTAGGAACTACTTGACTCAAAATAATTGACTTGGAAAAGAAGGGAATGATCATGGTGTTAGTGGTCGAGTACCGGAAGCTCAGAGTTGCCATAAAGAGTTCTTTATCCATGGCAATCTCCATGGTCGAAAGTGTAATGGTTTTGTGGATGCCAAGAGCCTCCAATTCTTTGCCGAAGAATTTTTCCATCCCCAGGTTGTCTTTGTCGAAGGCTAGGCTCCTTAGGGCTTCATCAGGCACCACTTCGACCAATCAAACCCTTGCATTAAGGGTGTCAGGCAGTGGTCTTTGAAGAGGTTAGTGATGGACGATGACACTGCATCCTTGAAAAGTGGTCACATGATTTGAAGAGTGGCGCTTAAATCACTCTCGAAGCGTAGAGTCTTGACAGCGCTCCGGTCGATGAAGTTCTTGCACTTGTTGCATTTGTCAGATAACTTGGAAATGAAGAAGGCCATTGATGAAGACTCGAGGATTTCTATGTTAAAAGCTTAGGGTTTCTGGGATTTTGAAAGTAAAATGGTAAGAAGGTTTCAAGGGTTTTGGAAAATGTAAAGTACGAATGGAAATGATTCAGGTATTTATAGGCATTTTGGGAGGAAGGTTAAATGTTTGATTTTCAAAACTGGAAAGTTGTTAATCATTGTGGATATTCAGAGAATCCAGGTGTAAGGACCGAGGTTTTCGCGGTTTGAGGATGCACGATTGCGTGTTACGGTGGGTTTACTGTAAAAAAGACGTTTCGGCTGTCACATATTTTCGAGGGTCATGATCAAGGGCTGCTAGGTTAACCAAGGGACCAACACATGGTAGGATGGTTGGAAAAATTGAGATTGTGAGATCATGTCTCATAAATACGCATGGTGGTAGTTCTCGAGAGGGTTCAATGTTTATTTTAGGTCAGTTTTGCTTCTTCAAGGTTGAGGCTCGAACCAAGGAATGTAGGTCGACAACTTTAAAAGCAAGGGGGCAATGTTTGGGCCCAAAATATTGGTTTGGGTTAAGTTTAGAATTGTTCTCGGCCTGGAAGTGTTGCTCAGCGGCCTACCGTATCCTATCAGGATAGGGTAGTTGAATCCTGATACAATAAAGAGTCTCGGCAGGATGAGGATGCTGAAACTTGAGAATGAATGCGGCCTGATAAAGGGTTGAGTTCAAAGTCCTAATAGGAGTAGGACTGGCCAAGATAAGATTGGATCGGGGTAAGGAGTCCTAACCCGAGTGTAGTTTTGATTCGATTAGAAGCAAGTTTGCTACTATAAATAGAGGGAGGAGTACATCATTCAAACCGCCCCCCAATTCAACACATAAGTTGCCCTGCACAAACTCTCTCAACAATCCTGAGATTTTTATTTTCTTTTTCTGCCAACACATCTTCAGTTTGGATAAGCAGCACTGTGAAGGCAACTAGTGATACCTTTAGTTTGGATAAGCAGCACTATCGCCG